CGCAAGCGGGGAGCGATTCGGTGCGGCGGCACCAGAGCCCTTCCCCGAGCATCGGCCTGGCAGGGCACTGCCCAAACTTCCCAGGAGTTTTTCTCTTTTTCTCCATCTTTTCTTTTTTCCCCTTTCTTTTTCAAGCACGTTGCTTCCCCTCCACCGTTGTTAAGGAAATTATTTTCCAGGTGTAAAGAGATTAGAATTGAAGCTACCAGCCAAAACTACTGGTAATCTAAGCCATTGCTCCTGCGACAAAACTGTTTTGATTTAGGTAGCAGCCTTTTAGGTGCTAATTTTCAGCGCGGTCTCTCCATTTCCACCGCTGCTTGCCCTTTTGCTCCTTTTAGGGAAGGCTCCCTCCGTTCGACCCGTTTAAAACACACTGCTCTGCACCTCTGCAGCTCAGAGCTTCCCCAAACCGGAGGGTTTTACCCACATAAATAAAGCCCCTGCACGCGCAACGCAATCTCAGCGCGACAAAACCGCCTCGTGAAGGGCAGCAGCGGTGAGTCGGGCAGAAAAGGAGGAGAGAGACGTGGCAGAGCCTTTCACGGGTGTCTGCTCCCCCCAGACGCGGCCCCCAACTTTCAGATTAACTTTCCCCCCACTTCTGCTGGTAACTGTGCTGAGACTTGGGCTGCCCGGCACATCTGGGCACATGAAGCTCTACATGAAAAGAGACCTGAAAAACCCCGTCTCTACCTGGATTTGATTTAATTATTTGCAATTGTGACGGTTTTCACTTAGTTGAAAAGTTCTTATTTTTTAAAGCCTTTTTCTTTTCTTTTTTTTTTTTTTTTTTTTTTTTTTTTCCTTCATCCCCCAGTTCTCCAGTTTCAGCAGCAGTTTTAGTTTTCGAAACAGCAAACATCAGTAAAAATATTTCGGTACAGGTTTCACTCAGTCCCTCACGACTATTTTTTCTCTGTTAAGTCCCTTTCTAAGAGCTATGGGTTTTGTTGCCCCATCTTGTAGCCCTGTGGGGTAAATAATGTCATATTAGGACTTCAGGGAACAAAACCGGGGTTTTTTTTGTTTCTGCATTTGCTTATTATTAGTGTTCGAAATACGCCACAGGAAAACTTGCTGGCAGACATATTCCTTTGCATTTTTACTTTGTTTCCTAGAAAAGGTCTGAATTTCCCCCCCCGCCAAAAAATAAATATAGTCAAGTAGCAATTGGTTAAAAGAGGAACTGGCGCGAAGTATTTAAATAACATTTTATATGTGATTACATCGCAATTTTGTTTTATCCAACAAAATACTGCTGGGCAGCAGTTTCGGGAAGCATCCCTATGTTTAAAAAAGCAACTGTGTTCAAGTTGGATTCCTACCTGTTGTGCCTTTTAAGCCAGGATTACCTATAACACCTGTCACATATAGTTACCCAGGCTGACTGCAGCTCTGGGAAGCTACAATGGGCTATGATTAATTTGAAGATTTCAGAATAATACTGTTATAAAAGCTACACTCCGGACAAAAATAGGATTAAGCTCTGAGGCTGTATATGAGCTAGAAGTGTTGAAAGCTAAAGCCTCCGTGCCACCGCTCGCGACGGGCAGTTTAAAATGACAAGAGTTTGCTAAATTCACGTTAAAGTAGAAATGTTTTCAATTATTCATCTTCATTGACTTCATATTGTCTTCTTTTTTCCCCCACTGCTTAAACTGATAATTACTTTGAGCAAACAGGCGGCCGGTTCCCATAGAAATGCTTTAATAGAAATGGTCGAAAGTTCTCGTAGTAAAACCTTCAACCTCGCCACTATAATAAATAAGCCCGGCACTTTGATGAAAATTAACAGTAGTTTTGTAAAGAGCACATTGGGGGATTGCAGTCAGGTCTTATCTTTAGTTCCAGTCAACTAGCAATCCTGAAAGAGTTTGCATCATCATCAGAGCAGGCCATTTGATAGGATTCTGCTGCTAAAAAACCTAATCAATCTATGGAATACTGTGGCTGCGCGGTGTAACAAAGCTAAAATAGATTTACAAATGGGGTTTTAGAGGATAAGCTCCTCCACAGGATTACATATTGATTTTAAATATAAAAAGCTTATCATATAAACCATAACTACAAAAATAGTGAACCTATGCATAAATCCTTTTAGAAGAGCACCCACTTCAAACTATAAGCCAAGAATAAATCAAGATGTACAAAATCCAAAAGAAGATCCATTTCTTGGGCAGAAAATGAACACACCACCCCAAGGTGTGCAAAAATGAACTTATCTTTTCTAAGGAGGCATTAAATCCCGAATGAAAAAAAAAACAGAAAAGAGCGAGAGGAAAGGTAGCTGAAAGTAAGGCATCCCGCCACTCGGCTGCAGTGAAAATCAGGCTCTGAAATGCAGCACCTTGTTTACACGAGCCAGCCGGCTCCCTAACAGACAGCCAAAATGCCTTCCCATGTGTGCAGGTTAAAATAAACCCAGTAATCTATATTTTCTTTGGCCTATTAGGCAAGGATTTCAGGCCTTTCTTGGTTGGAGCAGTCTCGGCAGTGGAAAGAGAGGAACACTTTCTGGCTGGAAGAAGGCAGTGCGTTAACTCTCTCTTTCTTATCTCTACGGCTAACCAGGGCGGGGGGAAAAGTACGCCTTTTTTACCACCCTCGGTCATTCATGTGTTCCGCGTGAAGTGCCGTAACACTCCAAAAGGCTATTCAGCTGCCTGTGCCTCCATTTTAGCGGTTGGCTAAGAGGACACTGTCTCCACATCACTGAACATTATAACGGTCAGCACCTCCAGACGCCAGCGCTGCCCACACGCTGCCTGCGCAGGCAGGGCAGGCCG